CGTCAGTTAATAGAATGCCCTCTCCTAAGATCAGACCATAAGACACGTTCACACAGAGTTCCTGCCTGGCATCAAATGCATGTTATTTTATATGAATGTTGTATACGCCTTACCACTTCATCAATCAATGCAAAGTCTGTCGTGAAATGAAGTGTGGGAGAAAGACAAGAGGACGTGAACAGGCATTCTCGAATCTTTGACCTAACAGATGAAATCAGAGACCCCGATTTGTCCTAACGGTTATTAACTTCAGCTCTAGAATGTCCCTTGCCAGAAAACGCTGTTGGATCAGCTTATGATTTGCTGAACCACCCAGTGAAACGGCCCAGGGAAGTGCAAGGTGATTCTCTTGGGAAAGCAAAACAAACAGATTTGGAACATCTAGTGCTATTTGACTTTTCCACCTGTGACGCTGAGAACAGAGTATGAGAACTGAGAGGCATAGGCGTCAGACAGTTAACATTTAAAGAGTATCCATTGATGTCATATGTAATATAAAGTGAGTCATAGGTGGTGGATTCCCCATCTCATGAGACCTACAATCCCTCATGACGAGTACAAGTTCCCAGCCATTGTTATTTATTTATAAACATGTATGTTGATTCCAAAAAGTGGTTTAATATCTACAAACTAATGAGAAGAATTGAGAAATGAAGACTCAGAGTTGAGGCTCAAGGTGCTAACCAGAGGACCCCATATTTGGAGAGTCCTAGCCCCAGGGGAAGAGTCAGTGGATAGAGAGTGGAACCATTAGCAAGCATCCTAGATCACCCATATAATATAGGAAAGGAACAAAGTGGGTAGAGAAAATTAAAACCCTGGTGTTTATCCTTGTTGAGGTTATAATGGGCTTTACCCAGAGCTGAACCTGGAGTTCAGCAATGTCTGATCTCTCTATACCACAAGCCTCATGGGCCTTTTTATTGTTCTCTCTTCTTGAATGTATCCAGGCTAGCCAGAACTCCTCAGCACCAGAGACTATTGGAGTCACTAGTAGGGTATGGAGTTCTTGGTCTCCAGGATCCAAATTCTACTTCATTTCAGGCTCCACCCCTCCCAAGACATCTGAATTTGTCCAAAACACTGCTTTGCATTGATGCTATCTGAAGAGTTAGTGACTGGTCTTTCCAGAAGCGTAATTAGGCAAGCACTTAATTTCAGCACTGGCGAAGGCTTGGTCCTAACTTTTCATAATAATGATGGTAACCGTGACAAAAGAAGGAAAACATCGCAAAGGTCTGTTTATCCAGGAAGGAGCCGAGTAAACCATGACAGACATGGTGGATCAGCAGCTACCATTTTTCTTCAGTTTCTTGATGGTTGTTTCTGTTCTGGCCTTGGGCATTCAGGTGTACAAAGTTCTCCTCTGTCCTTCCACACGTCTGAAGACAGCCAGTCCACCAGCACACCAGCTCTGTCTCCTTTGGAAGTGAGAGGAAAACCCACCCCCTTCTTGTAGCACCCTTCCAGTCTTCACAGCATCTTAGCTGAGGATAAATGATGAGTCTGGGAGGTCTCCTAGCTTTGCTTCAGACTTTTAAGTATGCAATTAGCCAAGTAAATTTCTTGGTACCCTCAATCATCTAGCTTAGGGCCCCCAAAGTCTTGTTTTAAAGACTGAATGTCAGTTACTGAAGATTTATGACTATCCTAGGAACACTAACTCAAGAACACAACTCTTCTTCTGCACACTTCGCCTGAGAGCAGTACCGTGCAAGGTCATCTCTACTGCTCAACAGGGGAGGCACATGGGACCTGATCATTGCACACACACTCAGGCAGAAATCCAAAGCTCCTCTTTTATCTACAGCTGCCATCCTCATGCACAGAAGTGAGACGTGGAATTCAAACCCTTGGTGTTTGGGAGTTTTGTCTTGTTGTTGTTATTGTATTGTTCTTAAAGCAGAGGAATGAGGACAAAAGAAATGTCTAGAAAAGACCGAGTGTGGGTCAAAGTTAATTTATTACCAAGGAAGTAAGGACGGGTACTCCATTCCCTTCCCCCTCTCCAGTTTTAGTATTGTTGAGCCATTACTTTATCATACAGAGTATTTAGGTCAGAGTTCTATGAATAGTCAAGCAGGAAAAAAAAGTTACTAGAGAGACCACAGGAAGCTCAGAGAAATAGTAGGTGGACTGGAAAATCAAGTTCAGGGACCCAAATGTCACTCCTGGAGTTTGAGTAGGAGGCTCTCTCTGCAATCACTGCCGCAGAGGACCAGATGCTACTGTTTACTTTGTTGCCAGGAAGTAGACCCGATCACATCAAGAGACAAACACCCCGCTGCCACCACCAACAAAAAGCAGAATCAGGCAGAGCCTTCTGGCCCAAGTACTCACTTCCGGCTGATAGCGTTTGGATGAACCAAAGAAATAAATGCTGCTCTCACCTTGCATATCTTCGGGTTCTGCATCTCCAGATGCAGCCTGCTGTAGAGGAAAAATCTTTAGGCAAAATTGACATCTGTCCTGACCACCCATCCACAAACCTTTGTTGTTGCTGTTGTTGCCCAGACAACACAGTGTACCCACCACTGACATGGCATTGTGTTAGGTACTTCAAGTCATCAAGAGGTGATTTAAAGCATACATGATAACGTGTCCAACTCATCTGTAAATACCATGCCATTTGATATGAAAGACTTGAGCATCAGTAGATTTCATACATGTGGAGGTCGAGGAACCCACCTCTTATGGGGACTGAGGGACTGCTGTGTGCCACCGTTGCAGGGGGCAGCATGAGAATCCAGTTTTCTGGATTCTGTCTTTCTGAATCCTGTGCTCCCTAAACACAGCGAGAGGAACAAGAAGCGGTTGTGTGAGGCAAGTTAGTGCAGAGCTGCTTGCCGTCATCCATGAGATGGTAAACCGTCAAGGAGAGGTGGCCAGGATGCGCGCAAGGGAAAACAGCAGTAGATAAATGGCAAATAAATAGATGAGATGCCATTCTTTGTGGCGGGAAGAAGGGAAAATATGTACAGAAAGGAGCATTAGCGGGGTAGAGAAGAAAGGAAGTGTCAGACATGGGTCTCTTTGTCAGGGTGCCCTGAGATAGAGGAGTGAGAAGTAGAAGACAGTCTTTCCATCTGAGTTCTGTTGCTACGTCATTGCCCACTAACCAGCACCATTTAATTAAAATCTCGGTTGCTAAAACGAAAGCCAAGCTAAGCAAACGGACCTGGTTATAATAATAAATTGTTAGGGGAACTTCAAGTAACTTTAAAATCAAAGCTCTTTAGTATGTATTGTCAATGACATGAATTCTAAGGCAAAAAAAATTTATCGTGTTCATGCCTGTGTGTGTGTATGTGGACGTGCATGTGTACTCAAACCTGTGTGAGTGTGTGTGTGTGTGTGTGTGTGTGTATGTGTGTGTGTGTGTGACTTCTGTGTGAATCCTGGAACAATGTGGCTACATAGTAAGAGGACGACCTGGAATGTTATTCCTGCCTTCCACTTTGTTTGGGAGACTGGGTCTCTTGTTGTCCACTGCTGGGGCGACCTGACCCACAAGCCTCTGGAAAATGTTCTCTCCCTGACTCTCATGCCTGTGCAGAAGCACGGGCATGACAGACAGGTGTGTTATTACATCTGTCTTTTATGTAGCTTCCAGGGATGCACAGTGAGCTCTTTCACTAATGTGCCATTGCCCTAGGCCTTGATAGCTTTTTTTTAAAAAATGAGTTTTCTTTATATTTTAGGCAAATATTCAAGGAGTCAATGATAAATGTATAAAATTAAGAAATTAAAAACATCAGATGTGGTGCTACACACCTTTAGTCCTAGCACTCAAGAGGCAGAGGCAAGAGGATCTCTGTGAGTTCAAGGCCAACCTGGTCTGTATAGTGAGCTCCCAGCCATCCAAGGCTGTATAATGACACTCTGTCTTAAAAACAATACTGTAACAGTAAATCTGAATTGGATGTTATATAGATCTGGAACTCACATTTTTATGGCACACATGTATTTTTATAATTCTGTGCATCAAAACATCTAAGATATAACGTCACTACATTAACAATTACTTCCCTTAGCTTTTGGATTTCAGACTTTTGTAGCATTCCTTGTGAAAAACATCTAGAGCTTGTGCACCAAAAGGAAACTTCTAAATATTAATGGAAGTATATAGAAAGGGTTTAAGAAGGAGCCAGTTCAACGAGTCTCCCATTGGAGACAATTTGAACAAATACTCATATCCTGTGGCTGTAGTTTCTTGAAACCCATTGAATTTATTTTGTATGGGTTTGTGCAAGTTTGTGTGTATGCATGTGTGTACATGTATGCGTGCAAGTGGAGGTCAGAGGTCATTGCTCGGGAGTCATCTGACTTGTCTATCACTGGTTTGGAGCTAATGTATCCTGGATTAGGCTAGGCTGGCTGGCTGACCATCAAGCCTCAGAGACTCTCTAATTTTCGTCTCCCCAGAACTACAACTAGCCTTTTCATTTTTTCCCACAGGGGTATGGGGAATGGAATACAGTGACTTGTGCTTGTGTGCCAAGCACTTTACCAACTGGCCTATTTCCCTAGCTTCTGAAATTCATAGAATGTGTGCTAAGAACTCCTGAGCTCACAATGATAGTCATGAGAAGGGATGTTGTAGGAGTGGGGGAAGACCTCACTGTTCGTTATTTGAAGTAATTACTGAACTAACACCTAGCCTTGGAGTAAGGAGAAAAGATAAACCTTCAATCTGATTTTGAGAAAGGCTGTACCTCAGGGCAACCCAAGGGGCCTAGCTGATAAGGCTTGGCCCCTGGTCAGCACCATCTTACCAACACTTCATGCTTGCCTAAATTATAGACCACCAATGAACTCATGGTGACACGTGGATAAGTAACTATGGGGAACTGGGCATCCATTTGGGGTCACAGTAATGCCAGAGACTGGTTTCTGGTGGCGATGAAGGGAAAAACATGTTGTCCCACCCCAGTGGCTTCTCTCAGCATCTCCAGGTTGGTGCCAGCGGAGTCAGAGTCTCAATGAACAGATGCAATGTATAGTCTCAAAATAGATCATCTTCTGAACAAGTCAAATACATAAGATTTGGAAGATACTGAGAGAATGTTTTAAATGGACTGATTATTATACAATACTAACCCCTTAAAATTTGAGGAAAATATTGCTTTACCTATATACCTAGGAAAACCATTTTCATTTTAAAAAGAAATAAACGAAACGTTAAAAGTGAAATGTATTAGTGGCTAGAGGGTCCTTCAAAACAATGTATTGCATGTGTCAATTTTAGAAATCTAGTAGGCAATTAGAAAAAATATTTTCCCGGGGAGTTTTTTTGTTTGTTTGTTTTGTTTTTAAATAACAGAACATTGTAGTCTTTGCATCATGTTGGAAAGCTTTTGTGCTGATGAGAAACTGAGATAGGAACTGGTCAGGCAGGGCAGGGATCCCAGAGCAACAGTTCCGACTGAGAACATCCTTGCTGGAGGCCAGGAATGTCAGTGCATTGTTTGGGTTCCAGTTTCTCTGTCATGTCCTAAACGAAATGAGCACCTCTGCCCAGAGGCTGCGTGTGACGACGTGACTGAAACTGAGCAAGGCACTTGGACACCTCGTGGTTGGGCCAACTGGACAGACCAGCTCATCTCCTTTCCCAGGCCTCTGCCCAATTTCTACCATAAATCCTTTAAGAAGCCCCCAGGCTCGCTGCTCAGTGGTATCCTATTCCCCGCCACCTGCTTTGTGTGTGTGTGTGTGGGGGGGGGAGTTCATTCTCTGTTCTGTTCACTCTCTGCTTGCTCCGCGAATTTCACTTTTAAAATTCAAGAGCTAAGAACCCACAAGCTTGGGGTGGCTTTCAACACTGTCAAGTTTTCTAGGACCCTAGTCCCCCAAGCAAAGCGCACCAAGAGCCAAGAAAGTCTCTGTCATTCTTGAAGATACCCCAGTATTCCCGCGTCTGTATCTATGGGGACTTTTCATTGCTCACCCTAACTCTAGCTCCGGGTTGGCTGTTCCAGCTAGCAGTGAGGCAACACTAGACCACAAATGGCAAAGTGGTGTATTTGTTTAACTAAGTGCTGTTACTGCGCCTTCTCAGTGAATCACTCCAAGCACTCAGAGATTAATGGAGGAAAAACTCTTTCACAATAGCGTACCACAGGCTCAGGCTGATGCACGGAAGGGAACCCACCTGGGACAGAAATCCCTGTCAACATAGGTAGCTTCACAGCCCCAAGTTACACTTGGAGCAGTCAAAGGTGTTTTTACAGAGACAGTAATTCCACGGCTTGGTTGTTTGGACAAATGGGGAGATTTACGATGTAAAAATACTGCCATAGTTATCTCTGAGACAAACCGCGGCTGCTTTTCCCAGGGCAGCCATTAGCCAGGGTCACCCTGCCCTCCTGGTAGACCTATGCTCTCCCTGATAAGAGGCTGCAGGTTTAATCAGTGGCTGTCAGCCAGGGCTGACTTCTCTAAATTGCCTGGACAGAGACAATGCTCCTTTAGCTAAAGTCTACTTTTGTGTAACTTAATATTTTCTAAGGGATGTTATTGGTGAACACTTCATAACATCACTTCATTACTTCCATTTCCCCCTCAGTGCCACACACTGAAGACCTGGAACAGCAGGGAGGCACCCCCTCACAGTCCTGCAGGCTTGAGTTCAAGAGCCAAGTGCTGCAGAGATGTTGCCTTTGGAAGGTGCTGGAGATCATTCAGTGCCTCTCTCCAGCTTCTGGGAGCGTTGCTGGGGACTTTGGGGCACCTGAGTTGATAGACGCATCAATCACACCTATCCTGCCTTCATCTTCATAGCTGCCTCTGTGTTAGCCAGGGTTCTCTAGAGAAACAGCTGAAAGAGAGAGAGAGGGGGAGAGAAAGAGTGTATGTATGTGATTTATTAGAGAGGCTTACAGGCTATGGTTCAGCCAGGCTAACAATAGCTGTGTCCCAATGGGAAGTTCATGAATTCAGTCGTTATTTAGTCCACGTGGCTGGATGGCTCAGCTGTTCTTCAGTATACGTCAGAATTCCAAAGAAGTAGGCGCTAACACCAGTGGAGAAATGAACTTGCCAGTGAGAGCAAAGGCCAGCAGGCAAAGAGCAAAAGCGTCCTTCTTCCACGACCTTTATACAGGCTGTCAGCAGAAGGTGTGGCCCAGATTTAAGGTGGATCTTCTGCCCTCAAATGATCCAGTCAAGGAAAATCTCTCACAGGGCTGCCCAGTCACGTAGGCTTTAGTTAATTCCAGAGGTAGTCAAGTTGACAACCAAGAAAAGCAATCACATTTCCCAGTTCTTTTGTGTGTGTGTGGGGGGGGGGGGCAGGTGTAACAGGAACCCAGACCTTAGCACAACTAACTCCATGATGGAAGTACCATTCAGGCTGTAGAACGCAGCATGTAAACAGCACCACCTGCCAAAACATAAACAAAGGCCTCATCCATCAAAGTCCATAGTATGGAAAAGTCTCTGACCATACTGACCTTGTTCTTTTTGGCTTCTGTAGTTCTGTTTCTGGCTAACTGCTCTTGCCAACTGAAGTATGTCAACCCAGAACATGTTTTCTTGTGCTTAGAAGTTCATCTTGTGGAAGGCTCAGGGATACACTGGGATCCTGAATACCCTTGTAGTCACTGGCCAGCTGATAAAAACTTTCTATTGCCTTAAAACCCATGTCTGAGCAGTCTTCTCTGGTGAATACCCCACAACACACAGGCTGACCTTGAAGGATGATCTTGAACTCTCGGTCTTTCTACCTCCACCCACGAGTACTGGGATTACAGGCATGCTCGGCCACACTCGGGTCAGAGTTCCCCTTTTTATAAACTCCATTGGATTGAAGCCCATCTACATGACCTCATTTTAACTTAACTACACCCATACACACCGTCTCCACAGAAGGCCACACTCTGCTGGCTGTGGTGGCCATTGGCTACAATTCTAGGAAGCTAAGGCAGGATGACAAAGAGTTTGAGGTAGCTTGGGTTAGATAGTATGACCTTGTCTCAAAACAAAATGAAATGGAGGATCACACTCCATTAGGGTCAGGACATCAACGTATGCAACCCATGGTGGTATGGGAGAGGAAATTAAAGGTGTTCCATATGGAGAAGTCCCGGGGTTCATGAACTTCCCAGTCCTCAGTCACTACCCAGAGGAGGGTTCTGCACACAGGAGTCCACCCTGTCTTCGATTATGGACCTGGCACTTCTTCTATTGCTTATCACATTTCCTGAAACTGGTACACTGGTTAGACACTATGCCCTAGGAAGTGGGAAGCACAAACAATTCGATGTAGCCGGGGCTAGCCCCACCCAATGACTGAACACAGGACAGACATTTGCCAATCTTTTGTGCCTCTCGCCGGAGCAACATGTTTTCATTTTGCTTTGAAATTCCAAGAATCCACCAGAACTAATTCTATTGTACCACTAAAAAAAAAATCTCCTCCCCTTTTCTCTTGAGAGAGAGTTTGATTTTCTTAGGAAATGTCTTGATGCATTCCTCGGGACTTGGCTCCACAATTCTGCCTTTTGATTAGTTGTGGTTTTTTCTATAATGGTCTCTGCCTGTCGCAAAGACAAGATTCCTTGAAGGGTGAGGCCAGGCACATGAGAGGGGTCAGAGAGGAGAACGGGAAGGGAAAACTGATGTCATTGTATTATAATATCAAAAAATAAATAACTTTTAAAAAGAGAAATGTCTTGACTCTGAAAAGTGCCTTTTGTTCTCAATTCATGGAAGGTGACTTGGTAAACGTTGATCTTATCTCACTTTTGTATTTTCATTATGAAAATGTTGAAAATTAAAAAAAAAAGATAAAACAACATTATCTAATGATTTATGTTCCTCTTGTAACTGGACGTGGAAACATAGTAACGTAACTTTTCTAACTTTGTTATTAAAACCTATTGCACAAGAGGGCGCTAGATTAACATATAATAAGACACCCCCACAGAAAGACCAATGCACAAATTAAGATTAGCCCCAAATACATTTTAGTCATTGTTTGTTTCACAGCTGAGAACTGGGAATATTTTCTTGCTGGAGAATCTTTCACAAATTCCTCATATAACTTCCTCACGTCTGAAAACCCCGCTGTCTTTGAATAAACCCCCAACACATACAGGACTTTGAAATGCATTGGCAGAGATGCTTTCTTCAAAGATTGTGGAGACTCTTCAGTGCTTCTCTTCAGCTTCTGGGGGTGTGCTGATGACTTTGGGGCACATTGGTTTATAGCAGCATCAATCACCCCAATCCGGTCCTTATCTTCACAGACAACCCCCTGTATCAGTCACAATGCTCTAGAGAAACAACTGGTAGAATGTATGTATGTGATTTTTATTAGTTTATTGAAATCCATTGAATTTATTTCATATGGGATTTTTCATGTTTGCACAGATGCCTGTGCATGCCAGAGGTCATTACACACACACACACACACACACACACACACACACACACACACACACGGCAATCCAGAAATGCCTGGCAAATACACGCCTATCACTTCATCTGAATAGGGCCTCAAGTTATTAAGCTTTTTATTACCCATGTAATGTGTGCTATTAAGCAATTAGAGGCAGTTGTCAAAATAAATTAAGTAAACTTTACCCATGGTGCAGCACGTCCTTAAAAAGGTTATTCATTTTCCTGGTGGCTCAGTTTAAATCTGGACGGGAATTGTGGGTAATACATGCTGCCTCTTGGAAGGTCCATCCTAACACTTCATCCTACCGATATATATATATATATATATATATATATATATATATATATATATAGGAACTTTGAGGCAAAAGAAATCAGCAAAAATGTTAGGTATAAGAACAAATGTACGGAAACCTCCATGGCATCATTTCAAATTTGCCTAGTTTAAGCACTCAAAATATAAAGATTTGCATTTGTGTAAAGAAAAAGATTCATAAACTGTAGATAAAGTCTAAGAAGAAAACGTGGCCGCAGCATTAAATCCCATTACTGTGGTCAAGTCTTTCATTGGGTAATGAATGAACAACTTCTCAAAGATAACACAGAATTATGTTTTTTAATTTGATGTGAGTGTTGGGTGTGAATGTGTATATGGTATGTGTGTTGTGTGTTGTTTAATGTGTATGATGTGATGTGTGTGTGCGCTGTGTGTGTATATAGGGTGTGTGTGTGTGTGTGTGTGTGTGCGCGCGCGCGTGCGTGTGTGTGTGTGTGTGTGTGTATGGTGTGTGTATGTATGGTGTGTGTATGTATGGTGTGTATGTGTATGGTGTGTGTATAGTATGTGTGTGTATGGTGTGTGTATAGTATGTGTGTGTGTATGGTGTGTGTGTGTGTGATATGTGTGTGCATGCCACAGCATGTGATGTCAGACAACAGGTTGTAGGAGTCAGTCCTCTCCTTCCACCATGTGGTTCCTGGGGATTGAACTCAGGTCACCAGACTTAGCACCTAACGCCTCTCACAGACGAGCTGTCTTATCAGCCCAATAACCACGATTTTTACCCTTTTCCTTCATTACTCTGTGGATTGTAGACTAGGTGGACTTGAGTCTAAATTCCCAAACTTGAAGCCCGAGTTTCCCACCTCTAAAGAAGGATCACTATTCCTATTTGACGAGACAATGTTTGTACTTTACACAGATCAAATAATATTATAAAGTATTAAATATTGTCTCTGTTTTTTTCAGTCTTTTTTCTCTTTTTTTAGCTTCTCTCCATCACTTTACTTTCTCTTTAATTGGCTTTTTAAATACCTGCTTCCATCCTGCTTACTATTTAGTTCTTTTCACTCTGTCAGTTCCTCTTGGTGTCTTTCTTAACCACCCCACTCCCTGCACTTATTTTACCAACCCTTGTGAGCTGCACTATGGCAGCAGCATGTGGAGTGGTTAAATACGGTGCCTGATGCACAGTGGGTGCTCTGACCATTCATAAGACTGTCTTTCAGAGACATACTCGTTTCCTGTTCCTGTTCATTTCGGCTCTGCTGAGGGTGCAATGTTATACTATAATCTGTTGTACACCTCTACAGAGGGTGCAGTGTTAAGCTGTAATCTGTTGTTTTAGGCGGAGTTGTCTTGTTGTTGTGTGTATGTGCCTGTGTGTAGGTGTTTGTCTGTGCACCACTTGCATGCCGGTGTCTTTAGAGGTCAGAAGAGGGCGCTGGATCCCTTGGAACAGAAGGTACAGACAGTTGTGAGCCTCCATGAAGGTGTTGGGAATTGAACTCGGGTCCTCTGGAAGAGCAGCCAGTGCTTATTAACTGCTGAGCCATCTCCTCGGGCCCTTGAAGTAATTTTTAATAAGCCACCCAGAGACTATCTACCTTTTTTTCCTGTTTGATTGATTTTGATGTGCTCATTAGAGGTTCCATCTATACAGCTAACAATGCTGGTCAGGAAGGAGGACCATGCAGTGGTCTAATAGAGTGACCCCACATTGAAGGTCTATTTGAAACTGGCTATTATGACTGTTTTTAATCTATGAATTTGACTGTTGTGAAACTATTTTCTGTCCATTTGAAACTATGTGCCTTGCAATAGTTTGAAATGCCATAGTTGTGAAACTATGGTCTGCAAATGACCACATTCAATAATATGCTATTATTTCTCTGAACTGGGTTCTATATTGCTCTATTTTTGTCAATTAAAAGCAGAATTTTAGACAGTAAGGGACCATTTTGTGGTCATTATCTTCATCTAGTTTCTTTCCTCAGAGAGCTTTAGCTCCCGAAACAGAGCTAATAAACCAGTGTCTGGTACTTTGGACTTGAAAATCTACAGGGAATTCTTCTTCTTCCATGAGGTACCGGAAGCAGGAGCATCATAGAATGAATGATTATCATTGCTTCCTCAAGGGGCTGATGAGCAGGTCTCCAATTCCTACTTACCCTCTCTCGGGACGACGCCATGATACCCTCCCTCTCTCAGGACGACGCCATGATACCCTCTCTCGAAACGACGCCATGATACTCTCTGGGATCCAGCCCAGGCCTTGTGCATGCCGGGTAAATAGGCAACTGTTAAGCTGCATCCCTAGCCCAGCCCATGAGGCTTCACAAAGCTCGGGGAAGGCGCTTCTGATGAGAGAGGTTGCTGACACAACCCAGACCAACAGTACACTGGATAGGGGCTCCTTTCAGTGCCTTAAATAATTTCCCGTATCTTTGCGGTCCAGATCTGGCTTCTGTGGTGTAATTTCCATCACAATATAACAGATTGGAAGTAATATTGGGTTTGCGGAGCACAGCAGGCTTGGGTATTATTGCGGTAGCAGAAAAAAAATCTCTACTTCATAAACTCTTTCCTGACCCTTTCATTTTTTCCTTTTAAACAAAATAAATATTACAGAACCTTTATCACACCCCCAATCATTGTGCATGCTGCATACTTAGCGTGTACTTGGACCCTGTAAGCAATCCAAAATCAGAGCAGAACGAACAGTTCTGATACCATCAGAGATGGTAATTATTAGCCCAATCATTTCAATCACTTACAGCAGTGACTAGATGTTCCATTGAGCACAAAATTCTTAATTTAAAGCTATGCCCAGCCATATCCAGATTACAGTAGGATGGCCATATCCAGATTACAGTAGGATGGCATTGATTATTTATATACTTCTGCCTTGGTCAGGTTTCCAGACAAAGTAAAAGCACACATTAATGGTTTGAGGACAGTGAACTAAAGGGACATTTCATGAAGGTGTGGACTGGGAGTCAAGAATCAATACAAAATAGAACAGCAGTCAGTCAAAAGCTGGTAACCGTGTGTGGGAGGAGAGAGCTGTCACCTGCTCAGGACAAGCAGTGAAGTGATGCTTAGCAGTTTCATCAGGCAGCTGCGAGGAGAGGGTAGTGGGATGGGAGGCAACATCTGTGGTAGAAGGATGAAGGCCATCTGCTGTGGTCTGCAAGACAATGGTGGGTTTTGATGGTTAATAGTCAGAGTCAGCTTAGTGTATTTAGAATCGACGATGACACAAACCTGGAGGCATGTCTCAGGTGGTCATTATGAGAGGTTTTACTGAGGAGGGAAGGCTCACCCTGAGTGTGGGCAGTACTGTACTATAAGATGGTACCCTACACTAAATAAAAAGGGAAGAGGATAAAGAGAGCTAGGCACTCATCCTTCTCTTCTGTCTGACTGTGTATATGCAATGTGACCATCCATCTCCCATCCCTGATGCCTCACCGTGATGGACTACAACCCCTCAAACTGCGGGCCACAATACATGTTTCTTGCTGTGTTTTTGTCAGGAATTTTTGTCCCTGCATTGAGAAAAGTATGTACGGCATTGGGGGAAATGAATATTCTAACTTCACCCTCTTTAGGGGAGTGACCTATGTTCCACTCTTCTGCCCTGTGAAGACACATATTAATATCCATTGCTTCCCCCACTCCCAGCATAGGAGGGGGTGATCGGAAGAGTCACACCAGATGAACTGGAACTTCTGAGCCTCCTCAACCACAGGCGATAAGTTTCTGTTCCTCATAAATTACACAGCCTGCGGCATGTTGTTACACTATCACAAAAAGGACGGAGATGTGATCTTTTCCCCGTTCTATAGACATTTATGTTTGTTTACATAGTAACCCTGAGGAAATCTACTAGCAACTCATGAGATCTTAGTAGACAAGAGTTCATTGAGTTAGCTAATAATCCTATACAAAACTCAAGTTTATATATATATATATATATATATATATATATATATATATATATATGCTAGCAACAGAGAGCAGAAAGATGTACATGTTCACATTTGGGTTATTAAAATATAGCTCCTCTTGGTTAATCCTGAAGTTAATTTTAGTAAGAACGCCAGTTGTGTATGGTAGAAACTGAAAATCTACCTTAAAACATACATTAAAGAAACAGCCCCCGGGCGGTGGTGTCGCACGCCTTTAATCCCAGCACTTAGGAGGCAGAGCCAGGCGGATCTCTGTGAGTTCGAGGCCAGCCTGGGCTACCAAGTGAGCTCCAGGAAAGGCACAAAGCTACACAGAGAAACCCTGTCTCAGAAAAAAAAAAAAAAGAAAAGAAACAGCCAAGCACTACAGAGTAAGGAGGAACTGAGAGAGAGGAAGCCATGATCAGAATATAGTGTATGAAAAAATTATATTAAACAAAAAGTATCTAACAACAACAAAAGAGATGTGGTTCAAATGCATTTTTGCAAGGGAGTCATAAGAAAAACCTACAGAGTACTGGATTAGATGAAGACATACATAACCGGATATCAAGACTTACTATAAAACTATAATTAAGCCAAAGTGACAAGAAATAAGACAAATAGAAGAAGAGGTAGTCTAGATGCAGATCTCCATATATCTTATTGCTGATTATATGAGTGAGGTGGCGATAATCAGTAGGATTAAAGGGGAATGATAACTATGGGGAAAATATGAAATTACATCCTTACCTTCTATCATATAAAACTACCATCTCAAAGGGGAGGTAGGTGCTCATTGTCTGTGGTAAAGCCATGTGCATGCTTCAGAATGCTGCTTGTTTTGCTTTTTTCTCCAACTAGAAATACCCTCTACTTTTACAGAGCTCACCTGACTAGCTATTGTACACGTAGGTGAACAATTATTTGATCCTTCTCACTGTTAAGCTGTGCCTTAATTTTCTCTTACTGGGATGAGACACCATGATCAATGCAACTTATGAAGGAAAACATTTAATTGGGGGGCTTGCTTACAGTTTCAGAGGACGAGTTCCCTGAATGAGTTCCCTGTTATGACTGGGGGCGCAATGCAGCAGATAGGTGGGCATGAAACCGGAGCAGTAACCGAGAATGTACACCTGCAAAGAGGAGGCAGATAAAAGCTACCTGGAAACTGGGGTGGGCTTTGGGCTTTTGAAACCCCAAAGCCCAGCCCAAGTGACACACCTTCTCCCATAAGGTCCTTATCCTTCCCAAACAGTTCTGCCAAACAGGGACTAAGTATTCCAATATGAGCCTATTGGGGCCATTTTCATCCAAGCTACCCCAGACTGTAAGTTCTGTGAAAGCAGAGTGGTCAGCATGATTTTGGCGTTATTCTTGCTCAGTACTGTGCCCCTCCAGACCTTGTGTATTCCCTAGCTCCTTCCATACATTTTGGTTGAATTAGTGAACAAATAATCAATGAGAGACTTAATATTGTTATTTTGTTGTTTGATAAAGGCTGCACAACCAGTAAGTGAACGGACTAAAATTCAATCTATCTGAAGGAGGGGAAGAGACATGACTGGAATGCCATTGTAAAGCAGGGTCTCCTAAGCAGGGTCAGCTAAGGTACTAGACTCAGTAGTTTTTCCACTGAGGGTGATTTCTGACATGGAGGGGATATTTGACAGCGTCCAAGGGGAATTTTGGAGTGTCATGGCTACAGAAAGGAACATGCCACCGGTATCTAGTGGAGGAAACCCAAAGACACTGGGAGAGAGCTCAGTTGGTAAACTGCTTGCCTTGAAAGTGTGAGGACTCAAGTTAGATCTTTTGGATCCATGTAGAAAAGTCCCAGTGCCTGGGAGGTGAGAAGATTCACCCTGGTGCTCAGGGGCAGCCAGGCTAGCCAAGTGGGCAAATTCTAGGCTCAGTAAGAGATCCTGTCTCAAAACCCAAGGTGGATGGTGTTTGTTAGGAATGATACCCAAGGTTGATCCCTGACCTCCATATTCATGTGCTAACATATATACATATGTACATATACATACATATGTACACATACACACATACATATACATATACACACACACACACACACACACACACACACACACACACATACATACAAACAGGAACACACACCCCAAAAGTTATTTGGCCAAAGTATCATTGGGCCATGGTTGAGACATCCTGGTTTAGGCTGTATAGCTATGTGTTGGAGTGAGCATCAATTTTAATCACCCCTGGAACATAAGACTGATGCTGCACAGCCTGCTCTCTGCCCCTCCCAGCATCATCACAGGTCAGAATACTTGGCCTTCCCTCCAGCCAAGCGCTGACCTTCCCAATGGTCATCCTAGTCACTCTCCAGTGGGCAGGACTCTGGCAGTTCACCATTCACTTTGAAATCCTGAAGACCTCTGCTTTTTAATTTTTTAAATCTTTAACTGATTTTTTTTCTTCTTTCCCTACGTACAGAATTCTGAGTGAGACCTGTTTCTTTCCATTAGCTGTCAGGTTAGATTTGGGGTTGTTTTACTTGGATTTTGGCATTAAGAGGTGTTCCATAGTCATGGAAAGTTGAGAATAGAGCATTTTAATGAGCTTTCTACGGTGGGGAGTCTCTAAGGGAGTATTAAAGGTGCCTTTTAGAGTGATATTCTTGATTCTTTCCATTGCCTTCATGTACAGTGAGCATCTTGATTTAATCCCAAATTGAGACTTGTTTCTGCATCCACCACAGCAGCGCTGACTGCTAACGGGCTCATTAAGCAAAGCCCATTGATTGCATCACTGCCACCTGGAGCCATTAGCACGCACTGTGGGATGTGCAGAGCGCGGACCCAGGGAACCTGAACCGAGACATAGCAATGACCTCTGGCTCCCATGCAGAGGCTGGCCCAGGCATTTTGGTTCTATGGAATGAAAGGAAGCAGGTTTTACTCATGCCAAGATACAAGCAAATAATCCAAGACATCCAACAAAGGATTCAAAATGTCTTTGTTTAATATTTACCTATAAACCTTTTTCTGGAAATGGTCTGGATCTTGAAATTGAATAAAAAATGGGCTTTTAAATCAACAAAGACGAGTATCAGTAAAGTGCAGAACTTCTTGTTTCACCTCTTCACCCCGTGACACGTGACTGGGTCTTTTTCAACTCCGGGTTCCTCACCGTCAAGATGGGTTGGGTGGTGATGCATTCCTCAGTGGACTATTGCAAGAATTAATGAGCAAATAGGCAGATAATCATGCCTAACACATGCCAATTTATCAAGAATAATTGTTATTCTCCACTTCTACCCAGCTCTCACCATTGATGTTCCTAGAAAAATCAGAAAGATGATAATCAATACTAAATAGAAGATATAATTAAATAATACAGATTTTCTTTTTCTTTTTTTTTTTTTTATAATACAGATTTTCTTTGTGCTCTTAAAGTTTCCGAGGGTCTGGAGAGATGGCTCAAAGTTAAGCAGACACACTGTTTTTGCAGAGGACCACAAGTTTAGTTCCCAGCATCCACATTGGGTGATTCACAAGTACTCCAGTTCCAGGGTATCTGACACCTTGTATCCTCATGTGCACAAACCCAACACAGACACACATCCACACACATAGTGAAAATTAAAAACAAATCTCACAAACACTCTCCTGGAGCACATCTCATTAAATAAAAAAAGACGCTTCCTTATCAAATTCATTTTTGAAATTGACAGAAAGACAATCTGCTGGTTAGAATTAATGTGCTTGTGTTTTGAAAGAAAATGGTCCCAAAAGGGAATGTTACTACTAGGAGGTGTGGCTTTGTTGGAGTAGGTGTGGCCATGTTGGAGGAAGTTCATCGCTGTGGAGGTGGGCTTTGAGGTTTCCTGTGTTCAAGCTACTCCCAGTGTCACAGTTCACTTCCTGTTGCCTGCGTATCAAGATGTAGCCAACACCATGTCTGCCTGCATGCCACATCATGCTCTCCGCCATGATGATAATGGACTGAACCTCTGAAACTGTAAGCCAGCCCCAATTAAATGTTTTTTCTTGCTAAGAGCTGCTGTGGTCACGGTGTCTCTTCACAGCAATAGAAACTCTAAGACTGTGCTCTTCCCACCTAATTTGGCCAGCTTGTCACTTGATACATTACAAACTCTCCACTGCTGTGACAGGCTGAGATTCTCTGAGTGAGATCTGAAACAAACCACAGACGTAAAGAGATGAGGATAATTGCCTGTGTGAGCATTACAGGGAAAGACGGTGATGCTACGTGACCACACGATCTCTAATTTTAAGTTTACAGATTCACACTCCATCCATAGGAACACAGGCCTGTGTGTTATCAGTCTCCTGGGACTAGAAGGCATTTATGCATATCTTTGTGGTGTTGACACATAATTTTTCTCTAAATTGATAATGGGTTATTTACTATTCATTAAGGGACCAAGAAAAGTTTTAAATGTGGAATAATCTCCCTCCAAGACTCAGGAACATTGTATAAGAGGGGACAGAAAGAATGTAAGAGCCAGAACATGGGGAGGGGTGCTGCGAAATATCAGGACATGAAGTAGCAACTGTGTATGTGGATTCACAGAAGCCACGGTTCCCTGCAGGAGACCTGCCAAAGACTGAGGCCAGCAGCATTCCACCATGGGACAGGAAGGGGCTTATGAGGCCATACCTCTCCCAGAAGAGCTATTGCCGGTTAATGGATGCTGGGAGGCATTGTCTTCTGTAGGATAGCCACTGGCGAGTTACCTCTGTTCCACTAAATAAACTTCCACTCACAATCATGCAAGGAATTGCGATCAAACTCAGTGGGACACCAAAAGAAATTAATGAAAGTAGTAGGGGACTTGTTGAGAAAGGGTTTAGCAGGAGGCAGGGGTGGGGGATCAAAGAAGGTAATGAATAGTAAATGCAATCAAAACACATTATATAGATGTTTGAAATTGTTAAAGAAAAGTATGAATAATTATGTATGCCTCTTGTAGCTATGTTACTTATTAAATAAGAACTTCATGAAATTCATGACTTTTGAAGCAAAAAGCTAATATGCCATTTATTATTTCTCTTATTATAATAAAAGTAAAGACACAATTGGATAGAACGAGACTGAATATTCTATTTATAACATATGCCTAATGGTCTGAATAGGACTAAGGACAGTGTGTTGTCATGGTGACAATATCCAGGGTTATTATGCACAAAGCCAATGACAGCATATTAGAGAGTATTTGGAGAAATATCCTGTTCCTCTCCTTTTGTACACAGGTCCTAATAACCATCATCTCGGGATGATGGCAACGTGTTGGACTGGCCTAGGATTTAAATATGGGTCTGTATGTTGTGGCTCTACAGTAGAACTGAGGAGGACTTAGTTACCCCCTCAATAAATACTTGATGAATGCACATTCAAGCTAACGTTGTATACATTTGGGACTAAATAGCTAGGCTAAGCTACTACATATAAAGTTCTTGTTGTTGTAGGCTAAGAGTTAACACTGGAATAGTATCTGGCTTCTTTGACCCTTATTCTCCTCATCTGTCACATAATTATACCTACAACAGAACACGTGCTAAGAAGGAACACATGGTAAGAATTCATAAGCACACATGGCTTCATGAATATGATTCTGAATACTCAAATGTACAAAGCCAGCTAAATGAAAGGCAGGCATGAGCAATCAGAGTCTAGGGACAATAGGAGTCTGATAGGGTCATGGCCAGATGTTACAGCCATTTATTTTGACTTAGCTACTCCCTAGCATTTATCATCTATTTTATTTTGGAAGCACTTTCTTTTACTTTTTGTCCTTTGTTATTTATTATATGTGAGTATCTGAGTTACTGGAAAATTACATGCAGCTTTTTCCACTTTGAATTTAACCTAATTTGATGGTTTATGAATGTGTTCTGAAGTCACAGCCTGTTACTAATATTGGAATTGGTTTAAACTTAGTTGCAACACTCCCCCTAATGCCTTTAAAATGCAAGGACTGCCAAGTGATGATGGCACACGCCTTTAATCCCACCACTCAGGAGGGATAGGCAGGTAGATCTCCGTGAGTTCGAGGCCAGCTTGTTCTACAGAGTGAGTTCTAGGTCAGCCAGGGCTACACAGAGAAACTCTGACTCATAAAACAAACAAAAAAGGTCAAGGACAGCCCACTGGACATCATACTTGTGATGCACCCGTTGAGTGCAATGTAGTTTTCTCTCTCTCTTTTTTTTTTTCTCATTTGGCTCTTACTCTTTGGGGGAGGGCTGCCACCCAGCTCCCAAATAAATACACAGATGCTCATTCTTTTTTATGAATGCCCTGTCTTAGCTTGGCTTGTTTCTTGTCAGCTTTTCTTAACTTAAATTATCCTGTCTATGTTTTGCTTCTGGACTTTTATCTTTCTCTATTTCTGTACACATTTCTTTACTTCTGACTCCATTGCTTGCTGTGTAGCTGGGTGACTGGACCCTGGAGTCTTTCCTCTCTTCCTCTTTCTTGCTCCTTAATCTTCTTTTTCTCCTATTTGTGCTCTCTGTCTGCCAGCCCTGCCTATCCTTTCTCCTGCCTGGCTATTGGCTGTTCAGCTCTTTATTAGACCAATTGGGTGTTTTAGGCAGGCACAGTAACACAGCTTCACAGAGTTAAAAGAATGCAGCACATCTTTGCGTCATTAAACAAATGTTCCACAGCATGAACAAATGTAATGCATCTTAAAATAATATTCCACAACAGTGCAAGAATCAAGAATAGCACAAGGGTGTTTATTTAGCTCCCGCAGCAGGAGCATGGTTTTCTGTGTTAGTTAATACCACATATCAAGGACACCAAACAGGACCCAGGTTACTCCTGTGCCACCTATGGGTCTTGGTTCTTTTCTTACATCACAAACCATCCAGTTTATTGTTTTGTCTGTGCCACCTATGATGTTAGTCTTATTCCAGGGTTGGTTACAATCCCTTTCAGACTATGAGGACCTTCAGTAGCACGAACTTCCCTCCCACAGTCTGTGAACTTTCTGCAGTTCAGGAGCGCTGGCAGCCCTTTTTCCTTGACCAGAATACCCGATGCCTGACCCCTGTTCAACCTTTATTGCTGAGGAAGAGTGTGGCTGTTGGGTCAGATGGACCCTATGAGATGCATGGGAGTGAACAGACAGCAATACCCCAGCAGTGTGAGATCTGGAAATTTACAACTTCTTCCCTTGTATTTTGTTTCATTTTATGAATCAGCTCATGCTGTGGATATCGCTCTGTACAAAGAAAATGCTGATTGGCCAGTAGCCAGGCAGGAAGTATAGGTGGGGCAAGCAGAGAAGAGAATTCTGGGAACCGGAAGGCTGAGCCAGGAGACTCGGCCAGCTGCTGCCATGAGTACCAATATGTAAGATACTGGTGAGCCAGGAGCCATGTGGCAAGGTATAGATTTATAGAAATGGCTTAATTTAAGATAGAACAACTAGATAACAAGAAGCCTGCCACGGCCATACAGTTTGTAAGCAATATAAGTCTCTGTGTGTTTACTTGGTTGGGTCTGAGTGGCTGTGGGACTGGCAGGTGACAAAGATTTGTCCTGACTGTGGGCCAGGCAGGACTGGAGAAAACTTCAGCTACAGGCTCAGATCTTCAACGTTTTTCAACACTGAAGGAAATATTTTACCAACCATACTTGTGATTCTATGAAAAAACAACAATTACAAAGCACTTTTACATGTATCCACTTCATTTCTTCACTGCAGACACATAAACAAATGGTGATTGAATGACACCATGGCCATGGGGACTCTATTATATCTGCACTCTCTAGTGATCTTATACAATCTTAAAACTTGAAATATTAGAGCTGGAGAAATGGCTCAGCAGCACTTCCTACTCTTCCAGAGGACACAAGTTCAGAACTCAGCACCCATAGGAGACCTCACAACTGCCTAAAACTCAAGCTCCATGGGATCTAACATCTTCTTCTGACTTCTGGGGATATCCATATGTACACCTCACACACATGCACATACATGCACTTAAATAAAAATAAAGGGACTGGAGAGATGGCTCAGTGGTTAAAAGCACTTGCTGCTCTTACACAGGGCTGAAGTTTGGTTCCAAGCACCCATGTGGCAGCTCACAACCATATGTATCTCCAATTTCAGGGTCCCCAATGCTCACTTCTGGACTCCATGGAAACTGCTTACATGTGGTACACATATATGCATACTGGCAAAACATCCTTACATATAAAATTAAAAACAGTAAAAATAAATAAATATGAAAAGAAACTTTTATGATGGCCACTGAATCTTTAGCTCTAGCTTCTATCTTTCCTGACAGCATACTTTTTAA